GGGTTTTGGTCTGGCTTCGAGTTTGCAGTCTGGGTCTGTGTTCTTGGCGTGTGTCAGCTTGTTTGGTTTTGGGGTCGGGGGGTGCGACAGCTGGCAAAGCAGCCGTGGTATGTTTTCTGGATGGTGGTTGTCCTTTGTTTATAGGATGGGCTTGGGCCTGGGTCTGATGAGGGGGATTGGCGGTGGTGTCCCGTGTTGTTTTGGGTCTGGTGTTGGTTTTCGTGGCTGGGACTCGTTTGTTGGTGAGGGCTAGCTTCCAGATGTCTGGTAGGCGGGAGGTATCGTACCATCTATTCATGTTATGGGGGTGTTTCACTATTTCGATGGCTTCCCTGATTATTCTCTTGCTAGAGTGTTCAGTGTTGGATATTAATTTGGTTCCTTCAAAATTAATTTCATGTCCTGTGGCTTTAAGGTGCTGAAAGAGGGAGGAAGTATTTTCTTCTCTTCTGACTGTGTTTTTGTGTTCTGCGATGCGTGCATTTATTCTCCTGTTGGTTTGTCCAATGTATGTGGCTGGGCAATTGTTGCATGGTATTTCATAAACTCCTTGGTTTTCTAGCTGGATCTTGTCTTTGGGGTTTCTTAAGATGTTGGCTATTTTTTGGTCAGTGCTGAAGGCTGTCCTGATATTGTGTTTGTGGAGAATTTTGCTGATTTTGTCTGTGGTGCCTTTGATGTAGGGGAGGAGTGCGATACCGTTGTCTTGTTCTGTGTCTTGGTTTTTTTGGGGTATCTCTTTTTGGATTAGATTGGTGATAGTGTTTCTTTGGAATCTGTTGGAAATTAATATGTTAGTGAGGCTGTGTAGTTCTGTTCTCAGGTGGTCTTTGTCAGCTAGGCGTTTGATTCTGGAGATGAGGGTCTTGGCTACGGAGTTGATCTGTGCAGGGTGGTGATGGGATTGTGCATTTAGGTAGAAGTTGGTGTATGTTTTTTTCCGGTAGATGGTGTGTCCTAGGGAGCCATTGGGTTTTTTGTAAATTAGGACGTCCAGGAAGGGAAGTTGGTTGTTGGTTTCTGTTTCCATGGTGAATTGTATTTTGGGGTGTAGGTTGTTAAGATGTGTGAGGAAGTTGTCCAGTTTTTCTTTCCCATGTGGCCAAATTATGAAAGTGTCATCTACATATCTGAGCCAGAGTTTGGGTTTGTGTTCGGATTTGTCTAGAGCGTTGGTTTCAAAGTGTTCCATGTATAGGTTAGCGATGACGAGTGAGAGGGGTGATCCCATGGGTGCTCCTTCTATCTGTTTGTATCTTTGTCCATTGTGGATGAAGTATGTGTTGGTTAGGCAGTGGTTGGTCAGATTACCGTGTTTCTCATATAATAAGGCTGGGTCTTATTTTTTTTTTTGAGCCCCCCAAAAACGACTAGGCCGTCTTTTCGGGGGTGACTTAATTCCCCCCCTTGCATCTTAGGGCGGGCGGCGACGGCTTGGATGTTGACCTCGGCGTTGGTGGGGTACTTTGTATCAGGGTCAACGCAGGCAGCACCATATCTGGGTGTGCAACAAAAGTACTTCCTAACAGCAAGCCCCCCGCCATTTCCCCCCCATTTCGCATGTTTTAATATAGGCCTTAATTTGGGGGGAGGGGCTTAATTTCGTTTCATGCCTATAAAACATGCTGGGACTTCCTATTGGGGGAGGCCGTATTGTTGGAGAAACAGGGTAGGATGTGTTTGGGGGGGGGGGTTGTATTTGTTTTGGATGGCTGTCAAGGCTTCTTTGATGGGTACTTGGGTGAAGAAGTTGCAACACAGCAAATGACCCAGGATATCACAGCACTGTTTGTTTTGTTTGTTTGTAGAAAATCAATAAAATTGTTTTTTTTTAAAAAAAAAAAAACCCACAAAGCTCAATCAACACTGCAGACTCCACAGTTGTCGTCCTTCTCTTCGCTTCACAAACCCCATTCCCTCCTTGCCCTGAGGATGTTACCTACCTTGACTACATTGTTGGTTTGGGGAGGCCTGAATGACTGAGAGGTGTTAGGGATAACATTGTTTACCCTAACTGGTTTGGGTAAAAATAATAAATAAGTTATCATGGTTTGTTGGTTAAAGTGTGTGTAACTTTAACTACAAGAATGTAATTAAGGGTGTGGTTGTAAAAGCACCATAAAAGAAGCAAGTCAATTGCAGCTCTCTCTCTCTGGCTTAATGATCCCTAATTACTGGATGGATTGATGACTGCGTTTTTCCTTACTGGAACGGAGGAGAGAAAGGAGTGTTGATTTCTCAACGGAGAGAAGAGATAATACGGATTGATTTATTGTAAGTGAACTGACATTGGCTATTCAACACGGACTTTGCAAATTGAGTATCCCCGACTGGACTGACTGAAATGATACATGACTAATGGACCGTTTAATTTGACTATGCTATAATTCCTAATGGAATAAACTATATTTTTGATAGCACAAGTGTATCTGTTTTTTACTGCGTGTTAACTAAAATACAAACTTATCTCACACATTTACCTGTCTGCCTATCTGACTACGCTACACATTCTGTTTGGTTTGTTTTCCTTAACACTCGTTGGGGAATTCAGGCTTAACAAGAGGTTCAGCAGATTTTGACCCTTCCTTTGCGAGCTACCTTTTTTCAAGCAGATGCGTTTATTTCGATCAGGGATCTCCACGAACTTGGTGACTTTTAAGACTTTGGGGACTTCAATTCCCAGAATTCCCCAGCCAGATAAGCAGTGCTTCATTTAACAACTGTGGCAAAAAAGGTCATTAAAATGGGGCAAACTCAAATGTCTCGCTTAGCAACAGGAATTTTGGGCTCAATGGTGGTCATAAGTCAAGGACTACCTGTACTGCCTGAATTCTGCAAACCTGGAGGTGAACTTTTAAATTCTGGGAGTTGAAGTCCTCCCCTCTTAAAGCATGCCAGCTGGGGGATTCTGGGAGTCGAACCCCACCCCTCTTAATGCATGCTGGCTGGGGAATTCTGGGAATTGAAGTCCTCAAGTCTTAAAAGTTAACAAGTAACCCCTGATACAGAAAAAGCTAGTACCGTGTTTCCCTGAAAATGAGACCCTGTCTTATATTTTTTGGCCACCAAAAAAGGCACCAGGTCTTATTTTCAGGGGATGTCATCCACTGACTAACCTCACTTGCACGCTATCACTCCCGGCCTCCTTTTTGCTGTCAGAGGCCTTCAGGAACTTCTCTGCGGCCGGCAAGGCTTTCCTGAAGGCCCCTGAAGCCAATAACAGCTCTGGATTGATCCACAGCTTTGTTGTCTGCTACAGAGGCCTTCAGGAAAGCCTTGCCACCCTTGCCAGCTTCCGAAGAAATGGGCCGGCAAGGCAGTTGTCGGGGTGTGCGAGGCCTGGGTACAACTGTCCAAAGGTAAGTAGTAGGGCAGCTCCACCCACCTTCCATCCCCACCCTAGCTTAATTTTTACCCATGCACGCTGGAGTGGGCGGGATCTTAATTAGGGCTTATTTGGGGGGATAGGTCTTATATTGGGCACACATAAAAATCAAGCTAGGACTTACTTTCAGGGTAGGTCATGTTTTCAGGGAAACGGTAGACTTTTGTGTGCTAATGATAAAATATCTCCCCCACCACCACCCCAAAAAAATTATGCAACTCAACTCCAATTTATCCAACAGGTATTTATTTGTCTACTTTCTGTTAAACATACAGGATTTGGAGACTAGAGAATTTGTATTGTATTTCCAGGTTCCGGTCACTTTCGATGACCTTTCTATTCATTTCAACGAGCACGAATGGGGCAACCTGGATGAATTGCAGAAGGATCTCTACAAGACGGTCATGAAAAGCAATTATGAGATGTTGGTCTCCATGGGTGAGAATATATCATAATAATTCACCGACTGCCTTGGTCCACCTGCCCTCAGTTCTTGCTAGGTGACCAGCCGGTTTCCATTTCAATTCCTTTCCTCTTTTGAAGGCATCACATATTTTTGTTGGTTCTCTAATCCAGCAATCCCCAGCTTGGGCATGCGGGTGGCAGACTCGTGTGTGCCCAGCTCCAGTTGTGCGTGTGCCCACACGCACACGCTCTCCCCTCGCATGAATGGAGCTGGCTGTCTTCTGGGGAGGGGCAAGGAGTCGATTAGGGACCACCAATGATAAGGCTGGGCTCCATACCCTGTACCCTTCTCAGAGAAGATGTCCCTCAATAGGGGCCCTCCGACAGGTCTGCATCCGGCAGGCAAGTACAGGCAATCCTCGACTTATGTCCACAATTGTGCCCAGTGTTTCTGTTGCTGAGACCTTCCTTGCCCCATTTGTTAAGTGAATCCCTGCAGTTGTTCACTTAGTGACATGGTTGTTCAGGAAATCTGATTGTTAAGTGAATCTGGCTACCCCACCCCTGACTTCACTGGTCGGAAGGTCACAATAGGGGATCATATGAGCCCCCCCCCCCCCCCCCGACACTGCGATGGTCATAAATATGAACCAGTTGCTTTGTGTCTGAATTTTGATCATGTGACCACAGGGATGCTATGACGGTTGTAAGTGGGAAAAATGATCAGTCCCTTTTTCCAGTGCCATTGTAACTTTGAACGGTCAGTAAATGAACTGTTGTAAGTTGAGGATGACCTGTATGGTTTTGGGCAAGAGGTCGCCCGATGGACATCCACCCCATTTCTAGTGGCAATGAATGGCACGTGATGTTATCTTTTCCACTTATTTTGTTTTTCCCCGAAAAATTAACTGTTAACAGAAGTATATTTTCATTTGTCGTCTGGATAGATTACGCAATTGCCAAGCCCGAGATCCTGACCCGGATTGAACAAGGAGACTCCTTGTGTGATACAAATGTTGACGCCATGCCTGAGAATAACACACCTGCACACCCTGGCACAGGTAAGTTCTCTGTTTCTTGAAATATATAGCTTTGATTTTCTTTTTTTTTAATCCTCTTTTTCATAAGAGGTAGGTTGCTCTCAGTTGGTGCTCTTTGAGCCTGGTGGTTTCCTTGCAGACTTTTCATGACCCAACTAGGTAGCATCATCAGTGTTAGAAGGGAAGGGGATTGTGAAGACGTGGAAGAGGACAACGACAACTGTGGAGTCATTGGTGCTCTCTGAACTTGGTGGTTTACTTGCAGACATTTCATGACTCAACTAGGGAACAGCATCAGTGCTAGAAGGGAGGGGAGGGGGGTTTGTGGAGAGGAGGAGGAAGATTGTGTGGTGCATAATGCTCTCTGAGCCGGGTGGTTTTCTTGCAGACATTTCATGACCCAACTAGGGAACATCATCAGTGCTAAAAGGAGGGGGAGTTGTGGAATGGAGGAAGAGGGGGAGGACGAGGACTGGAGTCCTTGGTGCTCTTGGTCCTTCAAATAACCAGCCCATATAGTGGTGCGGTGGCCTAGAGGTGGAGCTCTCACCTCACAATCAGGAGGCTGTGAGTTCAATCCTAGATAGAGGCAGATATTTTTCTGGGCACAATTGGAATGTATCTGATGAATATAGCTCCTTATTGGCGATAGAAAGGACAACCGGCCAGTAGACACTCAGCTCCATTCAATTGCCCAGACTCCACCCCGCAAGGGATTATAGGATCATTAAAAGAAGATAGCGATTTGACAACCGGTACTCTGAATTGGATGCCAAAGCATATCGGCAACTGATAAGACAGCTGACCTCTTTGCAAATCTCGGCTTGCCCGAAACCAGGCCGACCGCCACATTTTGAACCTGGATGGATACTTTTCAAGGGTTGGTCACCTTCAGACCACGGGGGTTTTGACCTTGGGGTTTACGGCAACCTTTTTCTCTCTCCTCCACTCAGAGTCCACCGTTGCTCCAGTCGATGTTTCTTTGTGGCTGAAGGAAGAAGTAGAAGGACCTCAAGGCGGTGGCAATGACAGGCCTCCTGAGGAGATTGGTGCTGGACTTCACGAGGGTGAATAGCTGGTGTCCTGGAATTGTGGTTTGGCATAGAAAGAAAGGAGCCTTTGATATTGCCTTTTTCCCCCCATAAGGGCAGTTTTTCTTCATTGACCCGAAATTTGTTGACCCGGGAGATGAACATCCCAGAATCTTGTTTCCCTCTGGACCATACCAGAATGACACATTCTGGAGACAAATGGGAAGCTTGTATAGATGAATCTGACATCTTACTGCTTATTTGTTATTTATATATTAGCTTTTCCCCCCGCCTTGATTACTTTATAAGTAACTTTAGGTCAGGAACATCTCTAATGTTCCTCCCCCTTCCTATTTTTCCCACAATGACCCTGTGAGGTGGGTTGGGCTGGGAGAGAGGGACTGGCCCAAAGTCAGCCAGCTGGCTTTAATGCCTGAGTGGAACTAGAACTCACTGTCTCCCAGTGATTGGCCCAAAGTCACCCAGCTGACTTTCATACCTAAGGCAGGACTGGAACTCACTGGCTCCTGGTGATTGGCTCAAAGTCACTCAGCTCTTTTTCATGCCTACTGTTGTGGTTTGCCAGCAGCCTGTGCAGACAGCAGCGGAATCGGACAGTGGGGGAGAACGGGGACCAGTCAGGGAGTCCGGCGTCAGATGCAGAGATGGGGCCAGGACCATCTGGGAGTAGGGTGCTGCCTCTGGAGCCTCCGGAGTCTGGCAGCAGCAAGGCAGAGGACCCAGGGGAGCCGGTTCCCACTGCGTGTGTGTGCAGAGCTGCTAGAAGGCAAGAGCAGCTAAAACAAAAGGGGCGACTCAGGAGTAAGGCTGGGAGGTGATTGCCCCTCCCATAAAGATATAAAGGACAGGCAAAGATGACAAAACCTTTGCAGGTAGCAAAGTTGTTCGTTCGGTTCCATACTTCAGTTGGTTTTTTGTTCTAGTTCATTTGACACTTCTGTTGTTGGCAGCACTTCACAGGAAAGAAAGGTGGGTGCTTATCTCGAGGGACTGTTTGAGATTCATTACCTGCTGGGAATGAAAATAATTCCCAGATTTGCAATAAAACATGACTTGTTTTTAAAATAAGCGCGTGCGTAATTACGGTCTCGGAAGCCTTGGTCAGAACACCTACAGTGGGACTAGAACTCACTGTCTGCTGGTGATAAGCCCCAAAAGTCACCCAGCTAGCTTTCATACCTAAGTTAGGACTAGAATTCAGTGCCTCTGGTGATTGACCAAAAGTTGGCTTTCATGCCTAAGGCAGAACTAGAACTCATTGTCTCCTGATGTTGGGGACAGCACAACTAACTAAACTGGCACCTATCTGCTGGAATTCTAACCGAACATTAATTTAAACTCCCTGCAATTTCCTTGTACTTGATTCCTTGTGATAAGTGTGATCCTATTTCCTGTCAAAGTTTCTCTTCACAATATCCCTCCACTACTATCCCATTCCATGATCACCTAGACCCAGGAGTGTCAAAGTCGAGGTCCGGGGGCCCATAGGGTGCTTGGATCTGGCCTGTGGGGCCACCATGGAAACAGTGAAGGGCTGGCCTGCAGCACCTCTGCCAGCAAAAATGGAGTTGGAAGGGCCACCCGCGACCCTCCCGAGGTCCATTTAAAAAAAAAAAAAGTTTTATTGATTTTAACAACGAACAAAAACACATAAAACATAAAACATAAAAGCATCATCCTCCTTCATAAATTTACAGACAGTGTATCGGTTGGTTCACCACTTTTTTTGTGCATCCATTTCATAGTCTCCATTGTAGTTACATTAAATAATAGCTCATATTATCAATCAACAATTATATAGCCTGATATCATTATTAAACAATCATTTGACTATAATTTTATTAATTCATACTTTAACAAGATATACTATAATTTACTTAATTTATTTCATAACAAATCATAAAGTCATACCAAGTCTATCTTAATAAAATTTTGTAAAAATAGTATCAAAGAAAGAAAGAAAGAAAAAGTATATATTCATTATTTCCTAAGTTTCTAAATATTCTATTATTTTATTATCCAGCCATTGATAGAAAAGGTCCCAAACTTCATAAAATTGTTTATCTTCTTGTTCTCTAATTTCAAATGTCAATCTACTCATTTCAGCACATTCCAATATTTTCTTAATAATTTCTTCCTCTGATGGTATTTTCTCACTCTTCCAATTTTTAGCAAATACAATCCTAGCCGCTGTTAATACATTTACAATCAAATACTTCAAATTTTTATTATATGTATCAGGTAAGATTCCCAATAAAAAAATCTCTGGTTTCAAGGATGTTTTTTTCAGAGGGGAATATCATGCCTGAATAAATCATGTCCTTCTAATGTCAACAATCTAGTCTTTCTTAATGTTATCCATTCTTTGGCCCACATTAAATTTGCAGCTTGGTAGTACAACTCCCAATTAGGAAGGCCAAATCCTCCTCTAGTTCTAGCATCTTGTAAAAGTTTTAATTTTATTCTCGCTTTCTTACCTTGCCATATATACTTCAACACAATTTTATTTAATTCTTCAAAATAATCTTTGCCAAGCCTAATTGGTATTGTTTGGAACAAATATAAAATTCTGGGTAAAATATTCATCTTGATTGTTGAAATTCTACTTATCAATGACAGTTGTAGGTTTTCCCATTTCTTCAGATCAGATGCTATCTGCTGTTTAAGTTTGGTATAGTTATTCTCTTTCAATGTAGTACATCTTGGCGTCAAATGTATCCCCAAATATTTAACCTTGTTCGTAACTTGAATTTTCAATAGGTCTGCTAGTTCTTCTCTTTGTCTTAATAACATGTTCTTTGTCAAAATCTTTGTTTTATCTTTATTTATTTTCAAACCAGCCATCTCACCGTACATCTCTATCTTTTCCAATAGTTTTAAAGCTGTCTCTAGAGCAGGGGTGGGCAAACTACGGCCCGCGGGCCACATCCGGCCCGTTGGTCTGTCCAATCCGGCCCGCCCCTGAAAAAAAATAGCTGGGCGTGGCGTATTGCCCTGAGCCGCGTGGCCCCCAAAGCTGCAAAACAGTGCGGAGCGCTCTCGGGGTAGGAAAGAAAAGAAGAACTTTGCAAAGGCCTCGGCTGGGAGTTTGAAATCACCTTTGAGTGCGACCTCTCCGAAGGTGAGTCCCTGCCGATCCCCCTTTTTTTTTCGGGGCTTCCAGGCTTAAACTTTGCAAAGGCAAAGTTTGCAGGCGGGAGTGTCTTCCAGCCGCGGAGCGGGAAGGGTTCCGCCGGGCGGGCGGGCTGCTTGGAGCGGGCTGCTTGGAGCCACCTAAAGCTAGGCCGCTGCTGGTGGAGCCTTGCCCTGCC